GTTTTGTAACAAAGAGTTTAGAGACTTAACAGTGCCAGACAGTATAAAGAGTACCACAGGGAATGCAAACAAATTATTTTGTTGATGCTCTTGAAATACATATACTATGTCAGACTTAGGTGAAGCGAAGCCCTACAACACTTTTCTCCCACCAAAAAAAGTAAGTGGTTGGGGGAGGAGGGGGAATCTGTCTTCTGGAGGTTAGTTTTTCCTTGCTCAATAATTAGTTCCTGTTGCATACAAGTTGCTTTCTGGTGCTCTAATGATGCTATTTTAATATGATAGATGTTTGGAATGTGAACTAAATACGTTAACCCATTACTTTGAAGATGAATATTTTCAGTGGGTTGAGAAGGATCCTAAATCCTTTGTAGAATGTTCATGTTTGCTAAGTCTCAAGATGGCTGTGTAACAAAAAAGAGAATCAATATTGTAGTATAGAGCACATGGTTTTATTACCATTAAATTAGGATAACACTTTTATTTTGAGAAGGCCATTTACTGTCATCTTAAAGCTGCTATAATAGGAGTCCTTGCTGTTGGCTCCCGGATCAGGTGTTCTTTAACTTTCTGAAGTAGAAGGATGATTTTTTGGTTCAACTTCACTTCATTTCCTGGCTCTGCCACAGAGACCTCCTTTGTGATTTTTGGACATGTCGTTTAATTTCTGTCCAAACAGGGGTTGCTTCTCTGTGCATGAGCCTCCAGTGCTACTACCACTGACAAACTAATTCCTGACACGTGGACCCTTGGAAAAAATATTGAAAGACATCAAGGACTTTCACCATCCCAGTGTAGCATAAAGTGACAGTTCTGCAAGTTTTAGCTAACTTTCTTCAGTGATAAATCCCTCTAAGAGTGTCCTCATTCCGACCATGGGGAACTGTTGCCAGATGTTAGCAAGAACTTTTTTTTTTCCTCTTCTGGTCAGAGCAGTCCATTCTGCTTGTTACTGCCTCACATTTCTCACTTGTTTACTAATTGCAGATGTCTAGTTACTCAGGGAAAGGGGGTAGGTTATCAATGATCAGCTGGCAGCTGCTGAAAAGCAACAGCTGTCAAAGTCAACACCCCACCCACCACCACCAGACACACCTGTGAGAGTAACGTAGCTTTTATAGAGCTATGGGGAAGGGGGAAATGTAGTGCTTTGAATGTAACATCTGTCCACGGCCTAGGTACCATAGTGTTCCTATTCAGTGGATTTCTTTGAGATTGTTGACTTTTGACATTCGTCTAAATGCTGCTTCAACCTATTTTTAATATTTGTATTACAAAAATGATATTATTAGCAGAAGAAGTAAACATTATTTTACTGTTCACATTCATTTTGGAATTAAGTTTAGGGTCTATTTTTTTGAGGTAGTAGGAATCTCCAGCTCTCCATGGCTTGAAGTTGAAGGTTCTCAGTATGTCTGAAAGTCAGTTCCTTAGTTTTTAAGGGCATCTTTATTTTGGTGCATCATGTTTTGAAGGTTTGTAATGAAGGATTGGGGGGGGGGGGGGGTTTATTCCCCCGCTCCCCCCACCACAATGTTATCAGGCCTATGTATTACAAAGTTAACCAGCCAGTGATTAGTATGCCCTTAAAACCTAATTCCTGGAGTTTTGGGGTGCATGTTTGTTTTTTGGGTCATATGTATGAAGATCAAATATTATGCAAGTGCCAGGAATTTATCCCAAATGAAGAGTCACTTGAAAATCTGTGCTGAAGTACATCAGGTGGTCTTCTGTTCTCTAGTTTTAAATGTTTTTCTACTCAGTCATATGTGGGCTTTAAAAAAAAAAAGTAGCTCTCAAACTATGAAAAGGTCACAATTGTTCTTCGGTATAACTCGCACACTTGTGAATAATAAATGTACTTGCAGGTCCTTCACAAGTAAACATACAGTTGGCAATGCACGTTGTTCATACTGAACATGTCCATTTTTTATAATAAGTGAATAACTTCAAAGTTAATAACTTTATCCAGTCTGAATGGAAATATCACTTACTTGTACATGTACTGGTACCTTAGTTGGAAAAAAATGAAACACTGGAGTAGTAACTATTTTTCTTCTACTAAAGAAGCAATTATTTAGTATCATGAAAATTAGCAAAAAATATTCTCAATTCTTAAGAGCCACCAGCAGTACCAAGTTCTGATTACCCTACATTGTGCTTTTAATATAAATGTTTCAGTATAACTTATCTTGACACTTAGGGGCTTTTATTTTATTTTATTTTTTGGTGGGGTGGAAGGCTTCTACTTGTTCACAATCTACTGATGAGTGTCAGATTTTAACAAGTATAGCCACTGCACAAGCTGCATTTGCGCGGTTCTCATTTTGCCAGGGAGGGAATTATAAGGTGTTTGTTAAGGCAAAATCTGAGTCCATATGTTAATCTTTCTGATAAAACTTCTGTTTATTGAGGAGGACAAGGGCTTTTTTGTGGTATCCTTTATTAGACCCCTTTTTTGGACAGTTTGATGGATTATCATGGCATGGCTCCAGCCTCTCTATTTAGTGACTCGGTTTAAACTTTTTCTGGCAATTTTGGTCCTTTGGTGCCATCTTGTGGCTGTACCAAAGGCATGCAGTCTATGTAGTTCTTACACAAACCTTTAAAAAACAAGCATGAATCCCTTCATCATTCGCTCTCATCACAGCTACTCTTTACTTATACATTTAAAAGAAAAAAAATGTCCCTCCTACAGCGAGGGTCTGCATAGTAGCTTTTTATATTTGAAATGTTGCAGTGTTATAGGAGTTAACAATGGTATTGGTATCAAAGGATACTGATAAATGCCAGTATGTTTGATCCTTTAGCAATACAAGTGTAGTGAAACCATTGTAATTTGGAGGCTCTTTCATTGGAGGCTAGAGCCATTTAATTAACTTAGTTTGCTATGGAACATGCAGGCATAACAGTTATAATACAACAACTGATGCATACTGTCAAGCAGCAGTTCCCCATTGCCTTTTAGAGCAGCTGAAGGGTACTTTTGTCTCTGTCTACATAACCTTAGTAGCAGAGTTTCTTGAGTTAGTCAACAGTAAATTCAAGGAGTTACTTTATACAGGGTGGTAGTCCTGCT